GGGTCAGTTGCGTGTCGGCGCGGCGGATCTGCAATGCGGCGTTGCCGTTGAGACCGTTGATTCACAAAACCCTTCTTCCTACGCCGATTATACCGACCCGTTTGTGTGCGTGCTCGTGTATGCGCGATTGTGTCGCATGTGCTGCGCGAGCGCGCGCGCGCGCACACACGAGGAGCGGCGCGGGGAGGGATAGCGCTGAACGCGGTTATACACACAAGTTTCCCCGTTTCTCTTCAAACACGCTTCTTTTAGCGATGCTTTTTGCCAATAAGCTTGTAAGCATAAGTATCTAAAGCATTCGCAGATGCTCTTATCCAAGGAACACGTCGATAAAAAACAATCCAAATGACTCTGCTTTCATTCTTAATATTTAAACGTTATTTTGACTTTCATGATGTTAAAGTGAAATAATTTTGACTCTCTTATTGGTGCGTTCCTCGGTACTCGCACTGTATTATTTAATCTATTTTGATCGAGAAGAGACGGTAACTAAATTGTATAACTCTCGCAAAAGTAGAATTATATTGAATTTTACTTTCTTCTCGTAACTTCTTTTGCTTGTAGATAAATACTGTACAGCCTTGACCAGAGCTGCGAAGCGCCTTCAATTTATTACGTAAGGAAAAATTGGTTTTGACTTTTATTGGTCTTTTTCCTAGAAAAGGGGATGTGATAAAAGCCAAAGGTGGATTAACAAAATATTAAAATTGATATAAAAGTAAATATTACACCACTTTTTCCAATAAAACCGTTTTTCAATTTACGTTTCGTTAGATATGGAACGTTTGTATGGGAGTGCTTTATGGCCAAGGCTGTACTACTGTTGTGTGCAGGGTAAAAATAAAATCAAATTTTTTCGAACTCTCTCTTTCATTTATAATTGCCGAGAACATCCTAGATTTATTCGTGAGAAAGGAAAGGGAAGATATACTTTCTGAAAATTCCCCGTCATGATTGCGTTTAAAGGCACCGAGAGACGCGCTTTTGTTTGCCTAATATATACAAGAGAATTGGTGTGCAACCGTAGAAAAACGGGCACCGCGGTCGTGTCGTTCCTGTATATAGTTCCTCCGAAAGGAAATTTAACGCGCGCATGCGCCGCTGACGATGCGGAAGGCAGAATCTAGAATAATGCTCGATAGAATAATGCTGAGTCGTGTGGTAGCACGACGACGACGACGGCGAACGTCGCGTTTTCGAAATCATCGAATCGACGACTTCTTGCCAGTTTCATAAACGATATACGAGGCATAAAGAGAAGCGTTACTCTCTTTTCTCACGTCGCGTCGGACCGAATTCTTAGACCGTTCGACTCGACTCATCGCGCGATATATTATGGCCTACATTCTTGAATCTATACCGCGTATGAAAATCTATAATATACGTAACGTGTACTGTAGTAATTTTCGTGTGCGACATATTTTTCGAGAATAATAATAATGTGAGAGAGAGAGAGGGAGCACATGTCGTCATGCCAAAATGGTTTTACAATTGGTGATTGAAAATCACTTGTCAATTAATACCGATTTATGTCCAAAGTTACATTGTGATTTGTTATTCTGAAAATCCCATCTAGTTACTTGCGACGCGTGAAAACTCGTACAAATTTTCTCGCAGCATTGAATCAGAAGATTCTAATTACATTAATTACAGAGTTCCGGTTATCTCAATGAAAATTTTAGTAGATTTAACCAGAACATTCTGATTCGCTCATTTTTTTTATTAAAATTCTAATTACCGATCTATAGACATTTCTTTTAGTGTTCTTTGGATAAAGTGTCTGTTCGGATAACAATAAATTTAAAATTGAGACAGACGTTTTAAAGACGTCTAAATTGGATGTCTAGAAAAGTCTTTTAATGATCTTCAAGACGTCTTATGTTTTCGGACGTGCATTTTGGATGGAACGTGTACGACTATTACGACCGCGTCGCGGTCGAGGGTTCGAGGTCAGACACGATCAGACGACATCGGAGCTATAAATTCGCACGGTGTTATACAAAGCTACCTCTCCATAATTCGCAAACGCAAACGCAGAATGACGTATTGTCACGCGCAAGATAAACACACGGACTAACCGCAATGAATTGAACTCTGCAACAGCATTGACATTTGAAACTTTTAAAGCGTTGACATTTGAATTTAAATCAGACTGCGAATAATAGATGTTTTCCAATTTGTGATACAAATCGACACGAGCACCGTCCTGTCTTTGTTACTCAAGTAGAGAGAGAGAGAGAGAGAGAGAGGGAGAGAGAGAGAGAGAGAGAGATAGAACGCCGTTTGTGTTGTTGATTCGTGTGACCAAATGAAAAGCAACCTATGTAGAGATATAGCTTAACTCGTGTCGCCTCGTGCGCCTTCCGCGACAAATTTCACGTTTTTAGCGCGGGAGTCGGAGAGGTGCGCGCTCGCGCGCGCGCGCGCGCGCAGCGAGGAGGTGAAGGGGCGCGCGCAGCAGCCACGATCATGACGGAAAGGGAGGGGAGGGGGGGCAGTGGGGAGGTCGGAGGGTTGCACGGGGGTTGCATCGCGCTCCTCTGCCACCAAAGAGGAGAAAGGTGGGAATCGGCAGCGGGTGTCGAGCGGTGTGCGCGCAGTGTTACCTACGTGCGGGGAGCACGACACTCGCCGTCTCTTTCTCTCTCTCTCTCTCACTCTCTATTTCTGTCTCTCTCTCTCTCTCTCCTTCTCTTTCTCACCGGACTCTCTTTCTCCCATCCTCACTCACTTTCCCCCATTTTTACCGATGTTCCGTTCGAGATTTGTGTGTGTTCCTTTATGAAAGCTCGTTATTGCCGCGCCGCGCCGCGCCGCACGATCGGTCCGCAAGCGCGCACTTATGCCCGCGTCCGATCCGCGGCTGTCCGATAATGCCCGTTATCGTCGCCGCGCGCGTTACGTGACCCGCGATACACGCGCGTTACGGGTGTCTACGTCCGCGGGCACGGCGACGGGCACCGGCGACCGACGAGTAGCACCGGTCCTCGTGACGTTGTGCTGACGCGATCGTCGGGTGACGACCGATGATGATGGATCGTAACGCGAAACTGTAACAACCCCCCCTGCCTATAACAGTTCGCGATCGTCGCCGTCGCACCCGGCGTCCCCCGATCATCCTTTTGGCATTGACGGCCGCAACGGTTATATAGGGGTAGATCGAATCCCCTATAGTTTCATATCGACCATACCCGACCCGTCACTCGGAGCGTTTCGACCCGGTCTGCGGAGATCCGCGGAGTCGGACGTGTTATCGAGGATAACCGCGAAAAGGAACCACCACCGATGTCACCCCACCTTCTCCCTCCCCTGAGCGCGGATTCTGCTGACTGCTAGCACGAGAAAGTTCTCCGTGAAGTTTATGCTCTTTATAAAAAGTGGTGCCTAAAAGCGTGATTATATGTCTCTTGACTGTGTGTGTGTGCGTGTGTGCCTGTGTGCGAGGGAAGGAAAATTTAATTAGTGCCTATATATATATACGCATCGCACGTGCAATAATCACGAGATTGATTCGAATCAACTCGATTGATCACCCATATAGTCTGTACATACACGCATTTCGGTGATAGTTTCCGATTACGATTTGCGATGCCCGTTCGCCACGCGCCAAAGATCGCGCCCAAGATTCGAGACGAAGAGAAAGAGCGCGGTACGGAGCAGCAAGACCGAGGAGAATTTCTCGCGTTGAAATAAAATCTACAGGAGGCTTCGAGCTTATATTTCATAAAGCGCGTTTCAACGGGCATGATTGCCGCATTAGGAGTCAAGTACGCGTGTACCGTGTCCACACCGTGATATCGGCCTGCTCTACTACGTCCTCCCTCCCTCCGAAAGTGTTTCCAATTTAGACTGAAACATACCACAACGGCATCAGCGATGTCACGATTAATGCTGTGTAATCTTGGCAATACCTCGACTACGGGAAATGATACGAACAACAACGCAAACACGAACAGCAGTATGGAGGACGACGATTCTTATCCACTGCCTACAATTTATCGGTACGTAAATAAAACATACTCTATGAATTGAGGTATCATATTTAAATCATGAGAAAAAAAAGAGTACATATATATGTACACCTTTTAAAGAAAGATGATACTTTAGGGGTGGAAGGAGGAGCGATTTTTTTTCCCACATTAGATATGTATACATGTATTTAACAAAATTTCTAAAACATATAATTTTTGACAATTATTTTATTATTAATATAATTTTAATTAATGATCAGAAAGGTTTTAGGATCTCAAAAAGAGTACGGCTAGTTTATCCGCGAATGAGTCAAAGGATTTCACTCATTGTCGTGAGTTCGCGACGAAAGAGGAAAGAAGCAAACGATATCGCGGCGATGTGGGATATCTGTGAAATATATCGTGCGCGTTTCAATTAAAGTTGTCCTACCCAAACGTCCCTCCCATTAATTTCGCGATAGACGCGAGAGAACGAACAACTTTAATTTCAATCCTTTCGGGTCTGGTAGTTTTATTTCGAAAGGAAAATAGAATTAAAATTTCTATTCGAAATTTTAAAATATATCAACCGCGAGTCTCGTAAAAGATGGAGAATTTATTATATGTATACGTTAATCCACGCGAAAAGAACGATTTTGCTAAAATAATAAAATATTACTTAATTACTTACAAATCTGGCAATAATTATGTTAGTCAAAATAATTATGTAGGATGCTCAAGTTGATTAGATGTTGGCTAGAATGTCAAAACTTTTTGCACTTAGTGACACTAATTTAGTGCGTTGATATGAAAATTAGAACAGGCATAGATCTGAAAATAATTACGTTGGACCATCGAAATAATTATTTAAGATGCTTAAGTGATAATAATTTAGGAATTTGCGAATTCAAGATCATTCTATTCTTGTTCACCGAACAAACAAGGATACAATTATATTTGTATGCACTCGGATGAAGTTTCTGAACATAGTCCATTATCACTATGCTTCAGTGTCCTACATAATTATTTTGACGGTCTCCTCAACATAGTTAAAGTTTCAAATCTGCGCCAGCTCTAATTTTTGTATACCCGAGCAATTAAAACCAATCTTCTCCAGTACACAACTAACAAATAAAAAGATTCCTATAGAAACTTGTAAAACTTACACCTATTTATTTTCATCTCTGTTTCGTTGTTTGCCACAACACGCAAAAGCCAATCTGGCTTTTGTATCGTCTGGCTACTCTCGGTTTTTTTTTTTTTCCCTATACATTCCGTTCCGCTAAACGCTATTATATCGATCGAACGTCGTTCCGCGTCTCGCTCCACAACAAACGGATTATCGGGGATATTTCGGCAGGGCTTTAATTATTAAACGCGAGTAATTTACAAAGCAATCGCGTCTAGGTAATGTGTCGGGGCAAAGTGATCGGTATACACGATACACCGGGCACTCGAGCGAAAGACGATATTCCCCGACCCGAGACCTATCGCCTCTCTTCTACCCTCCGTTGCTCCTTCGTCCCTTGCGCACCGGTGACCCACATCGCGGTGGTGGCGGACTCGCAGTGGTAGTTTTAGCTTTTAAAGGGGCACAGACGTAGCGCGTGTCTCTGGACGCTCCCAGATGTTCTTGGAAGGCTGCGCCTTTCTAAGGCTGCGCTCGCGAACGATCGACCGAGCTCACTCGAGCTGAGCGAAATTCAAACACGAGTAACTCGACGAGGATGTGCCACCGACGACGATCGTCGGTATCCAATGACGCTTGGCTATGCCATCGCATCCCCTCGCACCCCTCAACTCGAGCGAGTTGCGAGAGCATTGGGGTGTATTAGCTTACTTAGACTCGGTTGCATCAACGTCACTTGTAGCTAACTTTGGCTGCAATAAGTTTTTCTCCTTTGGGTTTATGTCATGTATTATATAAAACTGTAATCTGAGAAGGGGGGGGGAGGGAGACAGAGAAAAAGAGAGAGAGAGAGAGAGAGAAAGAAAATTGCTGAACTAAACTTACTAAGGTCTATTTTTATCAATATAGATTAACTATCATCTCGGGTTAATTTACTCTTTATCTTTTTCTAATTCTTAGAACTAGAAGAAGATAAAAAGTAAGTTAAAGTCGAGATTAAAATTAATTTTCCCTTACAGAAATCTAATATTGAATATTGAAAGGCCAATACTGAAAGGTAGTAATTAATTATTTATTTTAAGTATTATAACAACACTGTTCAGTATTTATAGTACTCTATAAATTCTAAAATTAATTACTATCTTTCCGTAATAAATTGACCAGTATTAAATTAGTCAGTATTAAATTTCTGTAAGGATACGTTGGTATAGACGAGCTGTATACGATAGATGGAAGCATAAATGACGTGTACGACGTTGATATACGGAGACATTTTAGATGAAAACAAAATTTGCACGCCTCAAAATATTTGAGTTACACGGACGAATAATGTTTCAACGTCTGTCCTGCTCGCGACTGATGTCTACATGTTCGTCGAATTATTCATGTTTGAATTTTGGCCAAGTCGGTGTGCACATGACTAGAAGTCAAACGATTCGTGTCTACGTAATAGTAAGCTGGCGATTAGTCGGTGTTTATAATCATTATGTATATTTAGTATCTTCATACTCAGTTACAAATGTATTAATTTGCGCTTTTGCACTTAATAAGAAAGCGACAAATATTAATTCAAAATATGAAATACAACGCGTAAAAACACCACTTGGAAAGATTATTAATAAATTTTGTATTCCTTTCCTCTCTTACATTAGGAAAATTAATTTAATGCCTTCAGTAAATTTAATTAAAATATTTGTTAACAATCAAATATTTTGTTACTATAATCAAAAATTTAATTGCTTCTGCAAAACACATTTTTCGTGTTTGTAACTAATGGAAAGATTTGCTTTTACTAACTAAACAGTTTTGTTTAGTACATTTTAATTGAATATTTTATTAGTAAAGTTTTGATTTATAGAGTAAAATATTTTATTTTTTAATGTGATTTTAAATAAAAACTAGATTTGCGATACAAAAACAATTTTTACTGATATTCAAATACGTTTAAAAGCTTAAGATTTAAAAATAAAAAATCTTTTCAAGTTGTTTTGGCTCAACGTTAATCAGAAATTATCGATATAACTGAAAACTTTGGAGAAACCAAAGTTATAATGAGCTTGTGTTATATAGTATTATAGTAAGACAAAGAGAGAGAGGGAGAGAGAGAGAGAGAGAATACTATACTAATAAGGCTGTGATAATGCAGGAGCAACCAAATATTTTCTCGCAATCACTGATTGTTAATTAAAACACAAATTAAAATATGTGGCAATTTTTTTTTATCTTAACAATAATATATAATACGGAATTATTTAATAAATAGATTTATTTAACAAACATTATTCTGGGACTCGTATTTCTTCGAATTTCATTTGTACGAAATTTTTGAATCAGTTCTCTCTCTACAATTTTATTTAATTCTGGAGTTAAATAAAAGTACAATTAACTATAATTTTATTTGAAAAATGATAAAGTTTCAGTCAGGTAAATCCTGACGATACCTTGAAACTTTGCTATTTAATGATTCAATCAGTTTCCCATTTCGAGTTCGTGTTTCAGCGAACGTTTACTCGATATTAAATCATCGAGACATTTAAAATTACTCTTGGAAATTAGAAAATTTAAAAAGAAGGACTTTTAAAAGACGGGATGAACTCGCGCGACAGACCATAATTGCATAACTTCCCTTGTAAAGTGTCTAAGGAAAAATTTCTGATCGTGTACCATCCAGTGCTCCCAGCTGGGACGTCCCGATCGACCGATAGTCACACGGGACGTACAATACGGTGACGTATATCGACATCGATACGCGATAACTCTTGCACGTTGTATGCGCAGCTGCCGTGCACCCATAGCAAGTTTGGATTGCATGGAAGAGTTCAACGGCGGCGGCGGCGGCGGTGGCGGCGGCGGTGTAGACTCGGGCGTGCACTGCAGCAACACGACCGGAACGAAAGAACAGCTACTAACTAGCTGCATTGCCGCACAAGCGCAACGTTTGCAGCACCCCTCGCCAGGTATTCGCTACCGCAACTTGGGCAAAAGCGGTCTACGTGTTTCCAATGTTGGATTAGGTACGCTGAATGTATTTCGTCTCTGATCTCGTAGAGAGTCATCTTCTCTGGGATCTCCGAACGCGTGAACGCTATCTCTCTTCGGGGGAGATATATTGTCCCTAGACCCTCCCTCTCATTTCTCACAGGGCGATAGATATACCTGCGGCCGAATCGATCCCGGAAGTGCATATCCGCTACCGGCTATCTCGGACTTTTATCGCGGTCCGTCCAATACCGCCGGTTGTCCGATTTCAAGTTTTCATTATTTATTTTACAACCCACCCTCCCACCACGATTTTGTTGCGAACGCGGATGTATAATATGTACGATGCACTACGACCGGCATTCATAGCTCGTTCTTTTAATTTAATTTTAAGATTATCTTAATATCTTTGAACTTATGACATCTTAAGATTACAATTAAAATCACTTTAAAGTACTTAAAAGTATTCAAGACAGTTTGAGATATAAAATCTATTACATTGTTGTGAAAAATTTGTGTCAAATTTAAAACATTTTTCACGCGCGTGTCCAAAACGGTCTACTCAAACTTTTTAATTGTGTTAATTTAACACAAGATGAATATGTTAAAAAGCAACATAGACGTTATGTAAAAACATTGCGACAAAAAAAGAATATATTTATACACACTATTTATAAGCGCGAACTGTGGAAACATATTTTTTCAGTATAATTAACATTTATGATATGTTAAATTAATACATATTTAATTTATTCAGTTTAGAATTTACGTTTTAAAACATATTATTTTTTCAAAAAATATTGAATATTTTCACAAAAAATCCTTGAATAACATAATTATTTTAAATTAATATTTAAATATGTTAAAAATTCAACACAAAGTTTTAACTAGGATATGAGTGAACCGTTTCTAACACAAATATAAAATGTTTTTTATTGTTTATGAATACCGGTCTATGATTCATAGCTGATTTGAGTTCGACGATTTAAACACACAATTTAAATAGGAAGCTCATTCTATAATTTTGTGAATGTAATTGTAAGTAATCGTAATTGTAAGAAATTATCAAAACCATAGTTGAATATTCCACTATGATAAGTTATTTCTTACGATTACAATTCTTATATACATGCTATACGCAATTGTAGAATGGACTGTGCATGCTTATCTACGCAAACACGTTTCGCTGTATATCTAGTTCGAGAATAAACGCTTAATTACTAGTTTTTCTTCCGTTTCAAATACTAATTTTTTAGAGAAACATTTTCTTTAAAATTTAAAAGAAATAGTATCGTAATCTACTTTTCTTCGTTAAAAATTGTAACAATAACGTCCATTTCGACCAATGTAGCTTAACTTTAATCTTGGTTTAATTTACTCTTTATCCTTTTCTAATTCTTACAATCAGGAAAAGATGAAAAGCAAGTAAAACTGAGATTATAGTTAATCTGCAGTGGTAGAAACGAGCATAAGAAAATTAAGTTTAATAAATGCAAAAACAAATGAGGATAAAAAGTGATTAAGAACGACATAAAAAAAGATTGAGAAAGTAACAAATAGTACATTTATTTAAAAAAAAATGACTAAAAAGAGAGGACGAAAAGAATAATAAAATATTATAATTAAAAATTATGTGACATATTAATTTTGCAATATAATTTTTTTTTTGTAAAAAATTAATTATATAAATATAAATAGTTCTGCAATATTTTTTATAAAAAAATCCATGTTTACATCTCTAATATATATCTATTAATTTAAAGTAAAAATTAAGGAGCTTACTCCCACGATGTTAGTTTATTCTGATTCTATAAATTCTTCCACAATTATCTCATTTATCATTTCTTAAAAGCTTCATATCTTTCTTTGCTATAATTTTATGCCAGTACACACAACTGACTGGATATGTCTGAAGCGTGAATTCGAAACAATTTGCTAATAGGTGCTGTAGAATTAGGCTAATAGATTTTAAAGACTCAAGAAACGAATTAGACAAATCGCATGGCTGAGCTAGCAACACGAAACTCCGTACTTTAAGCTTAATTTATAATTGACAACGGCAATTTCGTGGGTCGTCTCTGGTCGTGTTCCTCTATATACCCTGCCAGTATATACTAATCTATAATATACGTAATCGTAAACTATAGATTTTCAGTATTCGCAGTGTATATTGGAACATGGTCGTAATAGGTATTATGTACTCTGTTAAATATCAAAGGAACATTGGTAACTCTCAATCTCTCAAGTTGAAAAGATAACATTTTGTTATCTCTAACTTTCATGTGTATCTAAACTAAATCAATATATTTTTTATTAGTTTTGAAATAAACAACATTTACATTAAAATATGTATGCACTTAACGATGAGTAATAAACTAAATTCAAATTTAACACTTTTTTTTTAATTAAACGGTTTAGGTTCTTTAAATTAGTTAAGGTCTTACAATTAGTTAAATTAACGACATATTATCCCAACAAACGTAAATGGATTGGAATGGATTAAAGTGGATTTAGATTTTCAGAAATGCGGATTTATGAATGTTAAAATAAATCCTTTTCAATCCTGAATACATTTTTATTTATTTATAGGAATTGTACGGCATATATCTGTATGCTTTTCAATCTAAAAGTGATTTTAGCTTTTTCAGTGCATCGTCAATACTGTTCATTTCAAAATTTTGAATAGAAAACGCAGTTTTTTCAATCCAATTGCATCCAATTGAATCCAATTGAATAAAAAAAAACCTGTTTAAAATATGCATTCGATAGACAAAATGTCCAATCCATTTTAATTCATTTTCGTTTGCTGGGATGTAGGAGTAGTGGTGACCTATAGAAACGATGAAAAATAATTCAAATTAAATATAACTTGACATGATATTTAACAGTGTACCATTGTTATTCTGACTTCGATATAATAAAAAAAAAACACAGCAATATGACTCTATCGTCATTTGTGGATAAAAATGGTTAAAAATCGAGTCTATATCTCTGGTCTTGCGCGCCAGCAATTCATTTTCCTATGTAATAAACGTTTCGTTTCAAGACAGACGTAATTTTAGTCGCGCGGGAAAACGCCGCTGAAAACGTAGGTCGCCGATGTCGCTTGATTTGGTTTTATGGGCGCAGGAACGTGGACCACATTCGGCGTGGGCGGCTGCAGCAACGAGGAGACCGCGGAGGCCGTCGTGGCCCTCGCCTACGATAGCGGGATTAATGTATTCGACCTGAGCGAGGCGCACAGCGGCCACCGCGCCGAGATCCAGTTCGGCCGTATCCTGCTGAGACGCGCCTGGAATCGTTCCAGTTACGTCGTCACGACGAAAATTTATTGGAACACCAAGTGAGTAGAGCGCCGTCCAGGGTCTTCGCGCGTGTCTCGGTGTCATTGGTGGCGTCGTCATCGTCATCGTCGTCGTCGTCGTCATTGATGGTGGTGTTTTTAGCGAGCATTGATGATATAGTGGAGCTGGGTAGTGGCTCTCGACGTGCTCTCTCGGTGGCTCTCGATGTTGTAACGCTACTGCACGCGAAAGCGCGGTCTTTTCCTTTCCTTTTTTTTTCTTTTACTTTCTTCTCCTTCCTTTCTTTCTTTTCTTTCTTTCTTTTCTTCTATCTTTCTTTCTTTAGACGTGTATGCTTATCGATCGATGGCTTCAGTGTAATCGAACTTACTCGCCCATCGGCCTGCGAACTTTATCCTTCGCGTATCCTTGCCAGCTAGAAATGATTAATTGAATCGACGTTAGTCGAATTGCCGATGTCAAATGCTAATTGATATTTTTGTCGTCTCGATATCATCGTAATTGTTCTTATATTAATTTAGTATAAAATGCGAATATTTGTACAAAATTTTTATTCACTTTCGACCAATGTGTCATTTAATGAAGGCAGTATTTCTCGGAACAACTAATACATATAGTAACTATACATATATCAATTATAATTTTCCACTCAACGATATATACATGTACTGTATTATTTTATATTGTTGAGTAGGAAATTATATGAAATAAAAGTACATAAGTGTGTTATACATGTATTGTATTATTGAGTAGGAACTTATAGTATGATGTAATGTCGTTTGTGTTCTGCAGATATATACATATACTATACTTTCCGACTTTGCGTCGAATCGATGTAAAATTGACCGTAGGAAAGTAGAACATTTATGGCAATATTGTTCAATTAACGTAACAATGATTACGATGAAGTTGATAATAAAAATATCAACCAGTATTCGCGACATTAACTATTTATTGACACATCGACATCCAGTCGACGTCGACGTCGACTAATCATTTCTAGCTGGGCTTATAATAGCGTATTCTGTGTACACTAAGCATGAGATGCTTAGACACTGTGCGTAATGCTTGTATACCAAATCGTAAAAGTAGATAAAATTGAGGAAAATCGACAAGGTTTTCTTTTAAAAATCTCCGAAATTCTTTTTTTTTTTTTTTTATGATTTTACAGTCATTAAGAAATATATAAGGGAAACTATATTATCTTAAAACTAATCTCCGATTTCTCGAAATCGCAGAATTGAATTCTTTTTGTCGATAAAGAAATTCCTGCCAGTCATTAGTATTAACTTGAAGGTTATTTTGATACCTTATCACATATCGTATTTACTGATCATATTAAACATCTTATATACCGATATACAGAAAAAGACAGAACCTTTCCTTACGACACTTTTTTACGCGCGGATTACAAACGGCGTGTCATCGATAATTAGTCGGCGACGGTTTTACTCCGCAGGCGTCCCGTATAAGTTATATCGCTTTTATTTTTAGGATTGTAGAACTCGATAGGGAGACACATCGTGCAGAAGTGAATCTCGGTACGAGACGGCCTCGTTTAATATCAAGTGGATGGCGCGCGAATATGAGGCTTCGCCTTGACACGTGGATCGATAACTAGGTTCCCGTGCATCGAGCCGTCGTTATTTTGCCGTTGTTGTTTCGGTTCGTGTTCGATAACGTGCATTCGTAACGAAGGAAGCAAGGAAACGTGCCATTACGTGTCTCATATCTGCCTCTTATGATCCCTATCTACCATTTAATTCCGTTTTGCAGCGTCTAATAAGATTGATAATATCTGCCTATTCTTAAATAGGACCGAGGGTCGCGGGCTATCGCGGAAACACATTATCGAGTCCGTGCAAGCTTCGCTCGTCAGGCTGCAACTGTCGTACATCGATATTGTCATGATCCACAAAGTCGATCCAATGTGTCCGATGGAAGGTAACTTTCCAATTCCTCTTTCTCTTGCGAGTAATATTCAAAGATTCGAATCCTCTCTCTCTCTCTCTCTTTTTCTCTCTCTTTCTCTCTCTTCCTCGTCTCCATTCCATCGTTCAAATACATACGGCACTTCACTGCACAAAGCGTGCTACGATACTGTGATATGTATATATATATATATACTGTAATTCCGACAATAACTTTACATGAAGATGCCCGTCACGATAACGCACAATTTAGCATGAGTAGAAAAGAGAAACACATTTTTATTGTTTCTGCTATATAAGAAGGCGAAGAGAGATGATTGTTCAATATTGAAGAATTAATATTAAAATAGATTAGATATAAGAAACAATATCGTGTTACCAGAATGTTGCTTTTTCGTCTTTTATTAGATTTGTTACGCGTGCTTTTAATTCATTTCGATTTCTTCTAGGAAAGTAATCTTCAATGATAATTTATTTAAAAATTAATAAGAAACAGAGCTATGAGCCTAAAAATTCATTGAATTATAATATAGATGGTAAATTAATTATGTCCATCTATATTATAATTCAACGAATTTTTAGGCTCATAGCTCTGTTTCTTCTTATTAATTTTTAATTTTATTGAGCCTTATTATAATTATATAATAATTTATTTAATTTCAGTTTGAAAAGTTTATGATCGATTATTATTATTGAGTAGTTCATGATTTCTATTAGATTTTTTCATTAATTTAAATATTAAGAGCTTGAAACATCTCATTTTTCATCAATAATAGATTTGAAAGTAGTTTCCTATGTAAGAATATCCTATGATAATTTTGCAATAAATTTTACTTTTCTTTGGATAAAGGTAAAATTATTTATCAAGGCCGTCTACAAAAGTCGAATATAAAACTATAATTTAAACTATAAAAGGAAATTATTATCCTGATAGCACGCATGTACAAAATCGAGGTATATAACTGTTTTAGATATGCATATTATATGTACGATTGGCATTATACCTAAGATTGGATTTTGGATTGATATTGAATCCATAGTGTTATATTATATGTAATAAGATCTCGTAGAACGAGAAAAGAGATACTTTATAATTAATAAAAATAAGGATTTTTATATCAATTTAAAATTTTACACTTTATTTTATTATACATTTTAGTTTTAAATTGTATAATGTAATTTTTCATAAAAAATCTTAGTCGATACATGACTTAAAGAAACTAGTAATGAAGTCACAAAGATCTTCACTGCGATGATGATTTGATGTTTGGCAGTTGCATTGTGCCGTAAATAGTTATCGTATGCTTCTTTCTGTACTCGGTATTTTTATGTGAAAATGGAAAGTCATTGTTGTAAAAGTATATGCATTCTACATGTTATATGTAATATACATACATATATATATATGTTTTATATGTATACAATATTTATATGTATAAATATAGACATTTATGTATATTTTTCTATTTATTTTCTTGTTATAAATATGTATTAACTTCTTGCGTTTACATATCGCGTTAATGTATGCTTTATATTATGCGAAAAATGTGTGCAAGAGAACTATCTAGCTATTTTACCTTTATCCTCACACGCTTTGAAACACACTTCCGCTCTCCCTTTTTTTTTTCTTCTTCGTAGATGTTATTTCATCGTAAAAGTAGAGATTCACGCATCGATTTTGCATCATTTACATCACGTATCTGACAATTTCTCACGATAAAAAATCTCGTTTGTGTTCTTTGTATCTCACGTATTCGCGTGATCTTATATTCCAGAAATCGTTCGCGCGATGAATTATGTTATAAGCAAAGGCTGGGTGATGTATTGGGGTACATCGCGATGGACACCCGTAGAAATTATGGAAGCCTATACGAATTGTCGGCAATTTAATTGCGTGACGCCTATTGTCGAACAAGCGGAATATCATCTGTTTTATAGAGAAAAACCTGAACTTTATATGCCAGAATTATATAACAAAATTGGTAATTAACTTATTTGCTTTTCATTAACATATTGACTGCCGAAAACGAGTTAACTCGTAATTGATGATTGACATTTGTAGATACTACTGATATACAATAGATCAGCTATTTAATTTAATGTTTTGGAAATAGAAATATAAATTTTTATTCTGAATTTTGGTAAAGAATAAATATAATTAAGTATATATATATATATACTTAATTATATTTATTCTTTATATATATATATATGTATATTTATATACTTAAATATACGTTCCGTCTTTTGTATTTATTAAAGAAATTATATTTACGTCTCGAGCTTATTCGTCTTTTAGCCTTATTATGCTTATATTGTTGTGTTAAATAGATATTAAAATAATATGCTGATATATGTATACAAAAATGATGCGTCGGGGATAAAGTTATCTAATCGTACAGCGGCAATCAACGTGTTAATAACACATAATATTATGAAATACCCATATGAGAAGAAATGTTTACAGTGATATATTTGAAATTCAATTGACAATCTTTTTGTAGGTGTTGGTTTAATGGCATGGTCTACAGTCACCATAGGAATGGTTTCTTCGAAGCCAGAAGATTGCGGAGTATCGTTCCTCTCGAGATCTTCTTATAAAGTAAATATTTAAAATAAATATATCTATGTTATATCTGTACGTATGTGTATATATATATAGTTATTTTTTAGTTACTTTTATTTGAGGAACAAAATTTATCTTATTTTTATCGAAAAAGCGTACATAAGTCTATAATATTATTATTTTCTGTTATACTTTTGTATTCCAAAAAAATTAAATTATGTCACTTTAATAAGTTGAGAAAGTAAATGAGATAGTCGCAAAAATATAGCAATTAAAATTTTGAATGAATCAAAGATATGATTCGAAAATGATAACAAAATAAAGAATAATTTTTATGATTTCAGAACAAATACTCTTCATTTAGTTGGACGGAGGATGAAACTCAGTCTTTGTATAAAGAGGTACGCGCGAGTATTAATATATTTTTAGAAACAAGGTGTTTACATAGAAAGTATAGTCATATAATAATTAAAGTTAAACATACTTCATCTATATTCATTAAATTTTGATCCATCAATATCATTAATTTATTATATATTATATTATTTATAATCATTGTTTAGAAATTATAATTTCTGATCAAACTGCAAGACCATTATTTTTATTGTTTTCATCATATAAAATAATAATTTCATAAAAAGTGTTATGCTAAAACACGAATCATGGACGTGTTTTTGATCGCATTAACGATTGTTTTTGCAATGCAGGAGTACGCGTGGAAAGACAAATCTGCAGATGAGGAGACTCGGAAATATTCGGACAAATTGCGGGACGTATGTGCTCTTGCCGAAAGACTGGGGTGTTCTTTCGGGCAACTGGCCATCGCGTGGTCTTTAAAGAATGAAAGTGTTCAGTGCCTTCTGCTCGGTGCATCCAATATAGATCAATTGTATGAGAGTCTCCAAAGCTTACAGGTAAACAAGCTGTTTTTCTTTTGCGGAAGACTGTTCTATATATATTTTAGATGATTAGCTAAAGATTAACTGATGAATTGAAAGTATAATATTATAGTTTTCTTACTCTTTAATGTCAAATATCGTAACGTCAAAAAACATACATAAACCGTTTCGCTTATCGATTTACGTTTGAGAACAATTTATCGAATATAAATATCTTTGATTTTAATCATTTTTTATTTGTTCATAATTTTTAACAATTACAATATTATGATATAATTTCTAGTGAAAAATCCTTATATCTCTTAAAACTTTTTCATATCTTTAATCTATGAAGGTTTCTGAAAAATAATTTAATATTCTTCTATTAGTTTTCTTTGGAAATTATAGAACGTGAAAAATCTTAGAATTTAAAAAAAAACTGTAGCATTTCTAAGGTTTCCAGTTTGTACAAAAAAAATTATAAAATTATATAAGAATTTTGAGAAATTCTGAATTTTATAAAGAAATTGAAAAAAATATATATATATTGTATGAAGAATTTAAAAACAGTTTTAGCTTGAAATCTTTTTATATTATAGATTTTTAGATAATAATCAGGACTGGATTAAAAAGCAAAGGTGTTCATGTGTGATTACATGCATTTGGTCATCCTTTATAAATAATACAAAATTATAGCAGTTTTTAACTCGTGATCTAGTAAAATGTGTGATCGGCTAATCAAGGACCGAAGTCCATTTGCAGTGGCAAACAGTAAAAAGAGTACGTGATTTTTCAGCTTATCCCGAAATTAAACGCGAACATAATGAGCGAAATCGAGAGGATTCTTGACAACAAACCGTCCCGACCGCCGATGATATCCACTCTGGCACTTAGATGACAATCGATGTGCCCCCACGGCAGCGGTGGGGGTTCTGTGGAAGAGGCGGGCAGTCCAAAGAGCGAGGGCGGCAACAGTCAGGATCAGGAGCAGACCAAGGAAGTGAACAACAAGTTGCCATTTTGTGAGATACAGTGAAGTTACATGCGGATGGTAAACCGTCTCGTTGCTCCACATGCTATTGACGCCCAACATCGGCCGGCCGAGGACTAACGCGGATGCGACTCGTCTCCGCTTTACATTTGGTCGCGACCTGGGGCGGGTCAAGTGCACACACGACCACGAGTCGACACGACAATATTTACCAATTACGAAGGAAGCCATCTACGGAAATTCGTCGCCTCTCCGACGACGATGAGAGCATTCATTCTCGCGGGGTATCCCCGAACTTCACCCACGATTTGTATCTCTCGTACGTCACACACTCGTGGACACTCGTAGATATGTAGATCGATAAACGCGACGTGTTTCATTGCGAGAGCCCATCTGTCTCCGTTGACAGAACCGCGTGTGCCTGCACGCTTTCGAAAACATCTCTTGGAACGGGTTACATTTGTTCCGTAAGCCGTAAATTTTTCTCTAATCTCCCTCCGTCAGGAGACTCATCTGTCCCGTTGGGGAGGTTTTTATTCGCGATTCCAAGTGTTCATTATTCTTAGCGTTAATAATCCCATTTGCTACACTCGTAGTGAGATAATCAGGAATTCGGCAGTGTGTCACGAGTGTCCACCAGACTACATTCGTTCTGCCATTCATTGGTCGAGTAAAAGCGACTTGCGGACAATTAAATTCGTACGGTATAGCACGATCATTTAAAAAAAAGTTTCGTCGTAGATCATAAGAATTTTATCAAGGATGATACTACCACAGCAGCGCTGCATTTTAAGTGCTCTACCCAAGTACTCTTCGCCCCTTAAAACATCTCATCCCCATCGATTTCGACGTCCAATACGTATTTCTTTCTGCTGTTCTACGCGCTTGATTCTTCGAATTTTACCCACCAGTTTATCTTCGCTTTCTCCGTTTCTCTATCTCCATCCTCTCTTCTTTCTAGTTTGTTTGAGGATCGAGAAACGATTGCGTTACGTAAGAGACGCGTGATACACAATATGAGCTAATAAAATACATCGCCGTGGATTTTTCGCTTTTACGAAGAATACTTCGCGCCTGTTTTCAGAATATAGGCATTGTACTAAAGGATGAATGCGGTTGAAAAACCAATTTTACGAGGAGTAATTGCGGAATAATTGAGCTGATGGAGTCCAGTAATCGAGTCAAGTCAGTAGAACAAATTTAGACGAACGATTCGTGGAAGAGTGAACTGCGGAGCGACGCTTTAATTCAAAGTCTGATTCAGTCTTATTAACTCGCCGGACTGATTCTTTAGACTTAATCAATTTCTTAATGGCTACATTCGAAATATTTTCGCTAAATATTCGCAAACTCGGTCAAACCGAATATAAATTCTACACTGATACACGATATATATATATGGGTTCATTCACTGACGAATCTTTGAAGATCCGGACTATGTACGAAAGATCTCTTTACTTGAATAGATAATCGTTTCTATCAAGAGAACGTCTGTTTGTTTACCGCACACACGATAGCTTTTCGCTTCGCTTTAATGCCATAAAGTGAGAAATGCAGCACATTTTTGAAGAAAGTGATTTATCTTGAAAAGAAACACAAAATTTGTAATATTCGACTATTATACCTTTGTGTGAAGTGTCGTTGCTCCTGAGCAATATTCTTTCGATTTACCTTGCCGTTTCCTCATGCCAAAATGTTAAAGTCATCAGCAGATGCGATTCGTGCCAAGCAAGCACCGTTTCGCCGATCATTCGGAACATTGCTCAAGTGTACGATCGTGAGAAATTTCTCGCTCCTGTAAAACTAATAATCTGTATAGACATGTATATATAAACGTGAAGTCTTACACATTTTGGACATGTTCATTGAAAAAAAAGTCTTGTATTAATTGGAATTCGGGTAGTCCGATCAAAGAGGTGCAACCAAGACACCCTCGTAGTGAAACAATCAGAATTCTGATTTATATAATCAAAATTTGTTTTATTTGTACTTTTTGTTGAGACAATTAGAACATTTTTTTTAATATAGAATTTATAGTTAACTTTTTTTTATTAGAGTTCGAGAAGAAAGCCTCGATAAGAATCTTTCTTTTGCGATATTATGTGTACTCCAAAATCTAATTTTATTTGTATCAAAATATTGTCAATCATATATTTTTGACTGATATCTTTCAAATGAGGAACACACGTTGATATTTTTACGCGTACGCGAGAATTTTCTTACGCATACCGTATCGATGTTATTGACATTCCACTTAATCTTGTCAACTCACTGATAAATGCCAAGTCTCTTGGAAATGTACAATGTCGCATGTGCTCACAGAAGAGGGGAAAAAAAAAAAGGGAATAATGGAAGCTGCCAGTACACTTTTATCGCGCCTGATGAGGTTTTTTCAAACCAGACTTTCGTCCGATGCGTGACATAGGTACAGCGAAGTAGGTTCCAGTGTAAATATTTGGAGACGATTAAAAGGAGAGCATGTCACGATAAATAAAAAAAAATAAAAAAAAAATATCGCGCACCAAGTATTGAACGAATTGTAGTATTCGCGTAGTAATAATATGCTTACAAACCGACACATTACGATCTCATCGACAGGGAAGGCATTGAACGTTAATCGTTATCGATACGTGAGTCTCGGTATTATTTATTGGTTTTTTTTACAATTTCTGAATTGATAAAACTCTCGTTTAGAAGTTGCACTCCAATGATCTTGACACATATTATGTAGAGATTATCTTTCTGATCTTTACAGAAATCTAATACCGGCCAATTTAATATTGGTTCATTTAATATTAAAAGACAGTAATTAATTACTTATTGTAAGTATTGAAAGTACTATTATTCGGTGCTTTTAGTAAATAAGTGATTATAGTTACTGTTTTTCACTAATAAAAATTGGTCAGCATTACATTTCTGTAAGGGTCTAACATATAATCGAAGTAGCTATTTATTAATTCAAAAATTATTAACAAAATAAATAAAATATAGTTTTCTGGGGGGTTTTCTGATACCGCATATATTTAAGAAATACGTGCATAATGTATACAAATATCCATCATATATCGGAACTTCTCTCTTCTATTTTTACTTTTTTGAAAAAATATAAATATATTGATTAAAATATATTGATTAATGCGATTTTCATATTGCATTTATATTCTTTTGTATTATAATCTCTCATCTATTTATTTAAGATAATGAAAAGTATACATATATGTGAGTACTTTTTAGTTAAAATAATTTTTTAGTTACGTTGTTGTAGCAAATAAGAGACACGTAAAGTCATTGGAGTCCTCTAAACAAAAGTTTTATATTCGAATTGTCAACGCAAATTGCCTATGCACAATGCGTACAAGAATTGCTCGTGTTACCAGTGACGAAACTATTGTTGTATGTTGCCTGCGACCGAAAGAAATATTGAGAGCTATCAGGGATAATGAAAACACGGCATTAGTACCTGAAGCGTGCCTGAAAAACGTGCGGAGAACACAGCGAGAGATCGATGACCGCCTATCGGCATCACTATGTAAAGCCTTATCTCTGCGACACTAGAAATCGGTTCAAGATCTGGACGGAGAAAGATAATTGACTTATCATGTGTCCGAATTGTTCAAATATGTAATTTATTATATTTCATTGTCAAAGAGGTCTCGGGTCATTTTCTAGCATTGTGAATACAAGGCTTAAGAATAAAATAATACGACGGTAAGCAGATGAAAATGCAATGTTCATCCAATCATATAAATATGATTTTAATATGCCATCAGCTTTTATAAGATAAACCTCTGTATTAGACTTCACAGCCGCTAAAATCCGTCCTCATATTGCTGATCGGGAAGGATGTGTTTACAAAATTGTTTTTAATTTGCAATTATATTACTTTGTGTTGTTTCGTTATTACAGTCGTTAGGTGGCTTACATTATAATAATATTATATTATATTGCAGATTGAATGAATTCATTAAAGTCAAAATCGATAGTACTTCTTCTCCTAACAATAATTACTTACGATAGCTTCATGTATGTGCTCAATTATTATGATTATTTTAATGCAAAATGAATTCGTACTTTAACATTGGTGCAGTTTCTATATTTGTATTTTTATCGTCACTTTATGTTATATTTATTTCATGTGCATCTTAATAAAGATTAACATTGCGATGAGATATGTTTGGATTGAAATCTCTTGGACGGACATAATCGCGATAAAAATAGGCTTCATGATAATCCAGATAAGACAGAATTAAGATCGAGGCGATACTGCCAAAGACCAGTTTCAATTATTCGCTTCCTAAGATAAACGAAACTTCTTTCTCATTATGCTTCAACAAGGATAATTCTTACCAATTAGATCGATACCTTATCGATTCAATTTTTACGAATTCAATTACTGATTTCATTAGTATTATCCATGAAAGATGAGTGTGTTAACGGTCAGTGTTGATCGAAGGGACAAGGATGTAATAATGTAAGCGAACCGTATTTCTTATGATTCTTTCGAGAATACCGATTTTTACGCACTCTTAACTTTTACCGTAATGCGATTTATTGAATAATAGAAGAAACATGCGCAATGTCACCGCGGCCTATTGCGCTCTCTTCAACGCCTATTTTACTTACCGCCTATTTACGTGTAAATAGGTAAACGTAGATCTCGCTGACCGCCGCATAGGCAAGTCTGTCGTATCTTTATTATTACGATAAGAGAAAGGGAGAGTACAGCGACGCCATAGAAACAAACAATATCCGAATCGACAAAGTAAATAAATAAATAAATAAAATTTTTCCGACGCGCAGAGTCCTTCTAATATACCGAATAAAATAAAGTCGTCATGATATTTTACTGTCCGACCGTTTCCACGTTTTAAGAGCATGAAGTGACCAGAATGCCTATCCAAGGAGTATCCTGCTGATGCCCATTGCTAAGAGGATATCCTAATAATGGTCATTGGGCATATCTATCACGGTCACTAGCGACATCCTGGATGACCAAGGGGACCAATGCTGCGATGGGCATCTCGCTATTATCGCTGAGTGCGTCTTCGGTGATCCTAGGGACCATTGTTGTGATAATTGGCGTGTATCCATTGTCACTGTGTGCGCGAGCATATGTCACTATCGATGATTGGAAAGCGTTTTAATAAAGAAAAAAAAAGGAGAAAAAATATGGGAGGGGAAAAAGATGGTCCAAAATTGTATTTCGTGCTCATAAAATGCGGAAAAGAGGAAATGTCATGCCATCCGCTTGTAAATATAAAACGGCTGGTTCAGGCCGATTTATACTGTAGTAATATTAAGCTTGGGATGGGCAATCTTTATAATTCTCGAGATCTGCATCTCGTTTATAAACTTTTTCAAACGGCAATCCTCTCTTCAGAGTCACGTATTTCAGCGTACGCGCGAGCATTGCATTTCTTTTTTTTATAATAATACGTACACATAAACACACACACACACACAAATTAATCAAATTCACCTTTTAGCAATAATAATTGAGCAATACAAAAAGATACGGACTCTCGTTAGATTGCCATTGATTGGCCCATCTCAAAAATAGGCACTTCAAATACATTTTTGCGTCTTTTCATGATTTACAGTATTATATATAACATCTAGTGTATAAATTATATATACATATAATAATTTTTATAATAAAAGTTGTAAAAACCTCTTCTCTCAACCAGAATATTAGGACATTAAATTTTTCCTTGTTAGAAACTGACGAATATTATTGCATGAGTATATTAAAGTATTATATTAACGACGACGATACTCAATTAATTTTCAAAGTTAAAACTGAGTATATAGGGCAATTATTAAAAAATGAAAATTGAAGTATGAACTTCTTTAATTTTTCCTTTTTTATCTTTAATATAAACTAGTTTTATTATACAAACTATTATATTTACAAATTATACTTATTTCAATATAAAACGATATCTTAATTGATAGTTTCATATTGAAAGGTTTTGTTTGATTTCGTAGAAATAAAATATAAATAAAACGTAAAAATCAACACAAAGAAAACATTTAAAAAGCTTTCTACAATTAAAAAATTGTAAATAACAACCATAGAAAAGAACACTTTTAATCTTACACTAAGAACATTCGTTGTCTTATTACTTTGGTCTCCTGAACACATTTTAAAAATTAATAAAAGCATCTTTTGCTTAACCACATCGTCCTCGTGAACAGAACAATATCATCTCATATCACATAGAATGGTAGATTTAAGGGGAACACATAGGTAAGTTCACCAGGAAGAAGACATTCAATTCAAATGATAACGCAAATACTAAGAATATCGCATATAATATCAAGCAAATGACACCCACTTTCTTATTCAAACGATATTTGCAGAATGCGGTCACCAGATAAAAAGCGATTACACATAAGACGATTGAGAGCACACTGAAACGCAGAGCACCCGAAATAATCGTGATGTCCTTTCGGTCCATAAGAATTTTGATCATCCACGGTAGACCAAGGCACAGCAGAATATCGAGTGTATTCGCACCTAACGTATTGCTCATAGCCATGTCTCCATTACCTGCGAAGAAACAGAATTGAGATCTGAAATATTTCTCCTACAGATCAATTAATTCCCGCTAAGAACACAAAGTGACAGTAACATTAAATCAATGTATAGTAGATTAATTTTTATCTAGCGATGTATTATAACTCAACTGTTACGCGTATATGTGTTAGATTACTGATTCGTCCAAAAAATTCGTACAAATTTTTAAGTAAATTTCAAATAAAACTTTTTTTTTAGTAGAGAATAATTTTAATCTGTAAATATATGCATTTTGTTCCACAATATTTTTCT